CAAACACCAGAACATCAGCCCGTGCCGAGTCTGAGCAAGTGGAAGAAAAATCCGGAGGTGTGAGCGATAAGCCGGAGAGCGGCCATATTTGAGAAACAGGCTGCATGTGGCCGGTGGGCTCTTGGGCTCAATGCAAACCCCCCCCAGGCTGAGCCAGTCAAGCGCCGACACTCTCAGAACTAAGCTGCTCTGGCTGATCAACCTGTCTCCAGAGCTGGAGTCCAATACTGATCCTTAGAGAAACTGCTTAGAATGATTTGAGCACCGTGTTGCACGTACTCTTCTTAAAGTTCACTGTGATGCAGAACAGAACAACACCTAACTATGTTGAAGTGCAGTCCGCCGAGACCACAGAGAAAGCACGCCTGCTGTGGGGGATTGCACTGTCAGCTAACAGTTCCAGGGTCCCGGGTTCAGTTCCAGTTCCGTGTCTGTATGGGTTTCGGTCAGCTGCTCTGGTCTGCACTCATGCCGGAGGTACATGAAGTAAAACACCCCTGCCTCTCTGGGATCCCTTGGGAAGTGGTTGGGCAGGATTCAGGAATGAAGAGCTGCCGAGCAACTGCACAAGAAAAACAGGCCACAAGGTGCCCCTGACCTTTCTGACCTTCTCATGTCATAAGGTTCATTGAGCCAGTAGGGGCTTTGTCGGTCAAGAAACTGGAGTAAAGTTTAGTTTGGAAGGGTTTGTTGTGTAAGAGCATAATGACCCTCACCATAACTTTCTGGGTCGACTTGTGCATTGCGCCCTTCACTGCACAAATCCCACACCGCACTGCGGAAATAGTGCTGAACTGCGCAATGTAATCCACTTCCTTCAGAACCCTTGTAAACGGCCTTAGACAGATGCAAGAGCCAAACAAAATAATCACCCCGAAGCTGAAAACAGAAGGAATGCAGATTGATTGTCAAGTGGTTCTCCGCAGGCTCAGCCTGCACATAAGCTGAACAGCGGTGCCGTGTCACAGCAAAAGTCCAGAGCAGAGCAGATTACTCACAGCGGAGAGATATTACAGGAGATACTGCTGCTGTTAGCACTGCACAGTCATCTTCACGATCTAACTGCTTCTCCCAGGCTGCCAGTAATTCCCTCTCATTTATGCTGCTAATTAAAATAAATAAAACTGATGTCAGATATCACTTCAAAGCACAACAGTACTCTGTTAAAAGCCACCTATTGAGATCTGATATTGAAGAGTTCTGTACTGGAGCTCGTTAGAACTCGCCAAGGGGAAGATTTCAGGAAAAGAAGCAGGACTGAGTGTGCTTTCTGCTGAATTCTCCTCATGGGCTCCCAGTAGCTCCGCTGAAATTCCTCCCTGAAGGGGAGAGAGGCAATATTGTATTCCTGCTCTGTAATTTCGCTAATGAGCCTTGGGCTCGTTAACATCTTCGGTAATCGGTTCTGCTTTCTCCGTCGCTGCCTTTTGATGATGAGAAGGGGAAGTTTGGTTTGCTTTCAGGCTGCTTCCTCGGCACATGTCAAATGACATTCATGCTGGCCTGTCCCAGAGCCGCAGGGAGACATCCCAGTCAGTTCGGGAAACTGCAAAACTGGCAGAGACGCACAGTTGCCCGAGTTGGAGGTGAGCACAGTCTCCAGTCTGGCTTCAGAGGAAAATCTCTCCTGTCCTTAAGGGATGCAGGGTTTTCTGGTAGTCCTGGTGTCCTTCATTCAACTGTTTTAACCCTTAGCCCAGGTGTGAAGCATGTTCTGACCTACGTGCCCTCCAGCCCTGGGGGACTGGTACTGAAGATCTGTAGGGAAATTCGATCTGCTGGGAATTGAGATATTTCCTGAGGGCAGACAGAGTATTACGTGCAACAGGGGACTGGGCTGAAAATCCTTTCATCCTTTGCACAATCAAACGTACTGGTTTCTGACTCACTAATCAAGCTGTTCAGGGATGGGCAGCGGCCCGGACAGCCTCCTGCAGGCTTCCTGGGTACGTTTGACACCAGTCACGTCAGCCACTTGCACTGTCAAAAGAAGCAAACCGTGTTCACATGAGCTTTGTCTCTGCAAGAAAGAAAACTCGTGAGTTTCACTGCACTTAGGAAATGAAGAAATAACAGAATTTTATCTGGTGATCGTCACTATCCAGTTCCTTTAAAGGAGGTATAGCTGCGCACGTTGTGTAGAATCTGAGTATGCAGGAAGAGCCTGAGGAGGAGTCTACAACATTCAGACAGCCTTTGCTCTCAAAATTATTCTGTCTGGAAAAATGGTTACATTAGGTTGTCCTTTGATCATGAAAGCTCATTTATTTACTTACATTTTTCACGTACTAAAACCATTTTTTCAAGCAATGAATTCTTATACTTAACCTGATTTGTAACAAAATAGACATAGTAAATAAATGTTGGCAAAGTACAATTTTTCAAAGGCTTTCCCATTTTCACTCACAGAAGAACCTGAGTTCTTGTTGTTGACAGAGAGAATTGCACAACATCTTGTACAGAGAGTTGTTTTTCTAGTCCTCCCAGTAAAAACGTTACGTAAAAACCTTTTACCTTATCCTCCAGCAGCAAAGAGTCTAACGTGTAACACTTCAACAGTAATGCGGTCTCCTTATTAATTTATCTGTCCAGTGACAAGACTGACCGGACATTAATTCGACCGCTGCAAAATGATTCTGGTGAAGACTGAAGGTGTTTGCATTTTTAAATGCATCACTACAGAGGGCAGGGGATTCAAAGCCGCCCATCCTCACCCTGGTCCTCGGTTCACACCTGCTGGTTTTTGTTCCAGCCGAGCTCTCAGTTACATCATAAACTCTGAATTGACCTAAAAACAGGACTAATTTGAGCTCTGTCATTGTTTTCAGTTCCTGAACATCTTGCAGGCAGCTTGAGAACCTGGCCCATCATATGTAACTTGGATCTCCAGCTCTGGAGCAGAAACCAAATTTGCAAAGGTTCCAACTTGATAATTCAAGTAAGGATTGAATTCAATTAGGCATTCAAGTCTTCAGTTCATACCGAGTTCATCTGGAACAGAAATGTACAGGTTTGAGGGACCCCAGAGACTGTCCTGGATATTAATTTTTGTCACCATGTTATAAGCTGTACATGTCTGTCACCACTGAAGCCAGAAACATGTTTGTTGTAATTAATCTGTACTAGAGAGCACTGACATTTAAGAAAATAAAGCATAAGGACTGAATGCAGACCATTCTTGAATTGCTGGTTCTGTTTAGTCAGTGATGAAACTGAGCCTGATTGCAAATTTCCACTTTTTATTTAGCAGCTGATAAGACATAAAGCGCATGTTGACCTTGGAGCCAAAGAATAGTTCAATTAAGCAATCAGATCAGGGGTGGGACAGGTGAAGGGCCGCAGAGGGGACTGGTAAGTGCGTGATAGGGCTGACACAGGGTATGCTCAGCCGGACTGTGTTCTTCATTCCTGAAGAGCAGCAGGCAGGATAATCCTGTTTTCTATCAGCTCCTAGCACGAGAGCCCGAGGCTCTAGACAAACCTGTCAGCACTGTGCATGCGATCAAGCCCGGGCAGCAGTGTGGGGGAGCGCT